AGAAAGGGAGGGGGATGGGGTAGGGAGTAAATAATAGGATAGAGCCAAAAGAGAGAGAAGGCGGAGGGCTGCGGGGGGGTTTTGGGAATGAAGGGAGTGTGGACCAGGGTGTCCCAGAGGGAACGGTCCCTGCGGAAGGCGGACAAGGGAGGGGAGGGGAATATGTGTCTGGTGGTGACATCTTGCTGGAAGTGGTGGAAATGGCACCTGATGATCTTCTGGATGTGAATGCTGGTGGGGTGATAGGTAAGGACAAGGGGAACCCTATCACTGTTGTGGGAGAGAAGAGAAGGGGTGAGGGCGGAAGTGCGGGAGATGGATCGGACCTGGTTAAGGGCCTTGTCGACCACAAAGTTGGGGAATCTTCGGTTGAGGAAGAAGGTGGACATTTTGGAGGCTCCCTTGTTGAAGTTGGCCTCATCTGAACATTTAGACGGAGGCAGAGGAACTGAGAGAATGAGATGGAGTCTTTACAGGAAGTGGGGTGTGAGGATTTATAGTCCAGGTAGCTGTGGGAGTCAGTGGGTTTGTAGTGGATATTAGTGGCCAGTCTATCCCCAGAAATGGAAACAGAAAATGTCAAGGAAGGGAAGGAAGGAGTCAGAGGTAGACCAGGTGAAAGTGAGGGCAGGGTGGAAATTGGAGGCGAAATTGACGAAGTTTTCCAATTCCGGACAAGAGAGGAAGCAGCACCGATGATATCATCGATGTATCAGAGAAAGAGTTGTGGATGTGGGCCGGAATAGGACTGGAACAAGGCATGTTCCACATACCCCATGAAGAGACAGACATAACTAGGGCCCATGTGGGTACCCATAGCCACCCCTGATTTACAGCATCCACAGTTCTTTCATTTTTTATTTACGTCACTTGAGGTGCCTAGAACACACATTTTTCCCTTCTGGTCCTTCTCCCTTCTGGAAGAAATATCTAAGGACCATGTCCAAGTTCTCTAAGTGCTCTTTATTGGTCTTCTCTGTTATTAGCACATCAGAAGTAAATGGCGACCTCGGACAGACATTATAAAATGTTCTTCATTGTCCACTGAAAAATTGCATTGGATGATGATACCCCAAATGGCAGTATCGTACATTGGTACAAACCCTTGTGGGTATTAATTGTAGCATACTTCTGGAAATCCTCATCTAACTTCAATTACACGTGCACATGGCTCATGTCCAGCTCGTGAAGGACAGCATCCCATGCCAGCCTTGCACATAAATCCTCTATGTGAGGGATTGGGTATTTATTCAGCTGCGAAAAGTGATTTACCGCTTGTTTAAAATACCTAAAAAGGCAAACCGACCCATTAGGCTTTACAATTAGTACGACCAGTGCTGCCCATTCCACAAACTGCACAGGTTTAACGATTCTGAGATAACAAGGTATAGAGCTGGATGAACACAGCAGGCC